TATATATATGTATTATATTTTCTTTATTTTTTTATTTAATTTTGTAATGTTAATCTATTAAAATATCTAAATCATAATTTTAAAACGTAAAATAAAGTAGTTGTGATCTACATCGTAATGCAAAACAAATATAGTAGAAATTCTAAGCAAATGCAGAACTTGTGCAACACTGCGTAACAGAATCCCCAATCGCAAAGGGAATCATTCTCGGGTCACAACGATTTAACTTTTACTTCCTCACGTTATTGCGAGGAGAAACTTACGAAGAACTTCATGGTGTGTGATTACAGTTTTTCTTGTGCGCTACGCGGGAAAACACTACGTGTCCGAGGGACAACGCAGTATGCTTTTATAGCTGAGTCCTGTCCAGTTCCAGGGGGACCCAGGGATGAGGCGGGGGTACCGACTGTTGCACTGCTTTGGATGCGGACCCCTTTCACCAATCGCGCGACCCTTTCGGATCCCTTATTGGGAGCTTGGTTCCAATCGATCACGATTTGTGTATAACTTCCGGTACCAAAAGGACGATGTCCTTAAAGATGTTCAAGGATTAGCTGATGACCAAAGAGGACCAAAGAGGGGTACTTGAAATAAAATGCGCATATCGTCTGATTCATACGAAAAGTCGTTCGAATAAAGAACGTAGATTACGACACAAGATAACGACTATCAAATCCATCGATAGTTTATAAATTTGAAAATAAATAACGAATTCTTTTATTTCGTAAGATTACGTGGGAAAGTAGATTTACATAAAACTAAATTATTACGTTTCGTAAGACATGAGCAAATAGATATATGCGTATAAAGGAAAGTAAAACTGGACTATATACTCACCTGGTGACTCCACTTTAACTTTTAAATGTTTTCCAAAGTCAAAAAAAGATTTTTATTTACAATTAGAAAGTTGTATTTTCGTGAAAATCTATATATATATAAAACTGCATTTCTATTGCATTAGTTTATCACATATTATTACCATAAATATTTTTAATAATCATACGATATTAAAAAATAAATTTGTTTTCTATTATATTTCTTTTGATATTAGACATTGTCTATTCCTAAATCAAAGACAGATCACCTTGTACCAACGAATTGCATAACTTTGACAAACAGCGCCACGATATATTCACAATTGTCTTAATAAGCACTGCTGATTTCTGATTCTCGTCTAAGATCGATCATTCCAGATCCAGAAATCACGATGTTAAATCACAGCGATTACTAACCAACCCAGCATGTAACAAGTAACATTCACAAGGAGTGTATTGCAGGTGCGCTGGGCGTAACGCGTGCTGATGGAGTCGACTGATTAGGATGTAACACTCTAAGAAAATGCAGAGGCAGGTTTATGAGAAAGAAAATATTCGGGCATTTTTTTTCTTTGCGACTTGCGTAAAAGACGTACTCTGTGTAATACTAAAACAATTAATCCTATCTTTTTGCGCGATACCTCGCTGTAATTATCTCAAATAAGACATACGGCTCGCGTAATAGCTTGCAATTACGTTATAATTCTCCTAAAACAGAAAATACGACGTCCGTGTGTCTTTTCTCAGATTTTTCACAACGGGAAATAGCGTTTAAGGAAAATTTGCTTTAACAGAATCTCAATCAAGGCGAATTCGACAGGGAACTGAGGAACAATAAGTTTCCGCAACATCAAACATTCGCTCATACTCTATTATGATCAATTTCGCAATTACATCCAGTAAATAAAACTCATACATTGTGGAAAAGACGCGTGAGAATGACAATAAAACATGTAAAAAATCGTAATGAGAATCGATTTTTCATTTCGATTGCAACGTATAAAGTTGACGTTACAAGTTGCTTCGTATTCCGCCGTTTTCTTCGTGAAATCGTAATTAAATCTTTTTTTCTTTTCTATAATATGAAATTCTCTCCATTTATGTTAAATTAATTTATACGGAATATAGTACTGTTCAACATGGCATATATTTATTTCACGACGACGAAATCCGTTCATTCTTCATTCGACTCGATTAATTTCGTTCTATATGTATATTAATTCCGTAATAGCGAAATCTACGTTTCTTTAATAATAGCGTTTAATAGCGCGCGAGGAAAACCGTGTGATCTTTTTCTTCTAGTCATTCGTTTCATGCCTCGGATCTCGGCCTCGTGTTGAAATCTCTCTGTTACGCTGAGAAATTGCACGTACGATTAACAATAAAACTTTTTAGAATTATTTTTGCTCGTTAAAAATTAATTAGGTAATATATATAATAATGTACAAATAAAGATCATTTTTTTACGGATGCAATAATCTTTTTTTATAATTTCTAATAGAATCTGAAAACAGAATTATATCATTTTATTTATCCTCATATAGATTTAATAAAAATTATTTTAAAAATAATTTTGTGAACGTAGATATTTTTAGAAATATTATTATCAATATTATTAACATATTTAATACATAAAAACGATATTGAATTAATTAAATGCTCGATTGATATTTCATATTTTTCTAAAAAGAATCAAATTTTTAATTAAATTTTCTTTTAATTCATATTTTATATTTTAACGTGCAATGAATAACGTACAGTAATAATTATTTCCTTTTACTACAATTTCTCTGAAACAAAGACATTCTCTAATCATTGTGAAATTATAAACACATTTCATGTGCAGTAGCTTTGTCTCTTAATTTTTAATACACAGCAGTTCCAGCAATTTTCCCTCCGTGCGTCATTCACCCTCGGGTCTAATAGATGCGCGCTTTACGAGCAGCGTTAATTTCGCAACAAGTGCTGACTACTAAAGGTGGTTATAGCCATGAACGCATTTAGTTCTGGGTCACATTTAAGTACATCTGACTCCCTCTCATTTCTTTTCTTTTTTCTTCTCTCTCATTCTTTTCGAAAGAAATAGCATAGTGCGATTTTTGCGAGCGCGAAATCGTCATTTCCGAGCAGGAAGTGAACGCCCCTACGTTTCTTCGTCGTCGACCGCGCTTTTTCAGACCGATTAACAATTACCTGCTAGGACTGTGGCCGACGGTCGCCTACTTAGGTCAGTATAAAAGCCGCGATAGCCGCTACGCGATTTACGCAACCCTGACCAAGCACGATTCGTTGCATTTATCACAAGTGTATATGCGCGGAACAACCCCACGTGGATGTAGATACGTCGTGCAGCGGAATCGTTGCAAAACTTGGAAAGTTTAACAATTCTCATTATTTTGTAATGTCTCACGCTCGCTCTGTTTGGATCAGATGAACAAGAGATGGAAAGAGAGAGGAAGACGGACGTGTATTTGTCGATGCAGCGGGAGTTACAAGAAATATTAATGCAACGCTCACGTTGCATCGCTCACGTAGCAGTGCCCGAGGGAATTTTCACGAACGAGAAAGCTTTAAACAAATCTTTTAATATTTCAGAAACACTGTAAGGATAAAAGAGAGCAATTCGTAGTAATATTTTTGTAGCTTTGTGCTGTGGAAACATATTTTGTACGTAAAACATTAACAAAATTGATCTTGCTTATATTTTTTTTACACCTTTTTACACTTAGAATGAGGTAGATATATATTTGGCACTAAAAAGAGAGAAAACGAAGATGATGAGTGTAAGCAAGTCGAACAGATCTAATGATATGAATGGAAAAATGTGAAGTAAAAAAGCGAAATAATAAATACGTAAAAGTATATAAGAAATAACACGAAAATATGTCGCCGTGAGTTTTACTTTATCGTGTATAATTTTGTGCGATTACGTTATATCGCGTGGTTTCTTATTAGTTGCAGGTACAATCTATGCAGCTTGATTAGATAATTGACATATGTGGGTAAAATCTAAAAAAAATAAAAAATAAAAAATTCACGTTCCTCATTCGCTTATGCACCACTGCACCGTTCAAACGCGCTTTCCCCCGCGGAAAACGCATTTTGCTGCAATTCGTGCATCGCTGCACTCAATAAACCAATCTCCTGCACGTGAAACAATTTTCGCTTGTAATACATAATTCGCTTGTAATACGTTAATCGGATCATTATTTTCTATGTTAATATTTATTATTTATTTTTGTAATCAAAAAAAAAACATTTATTTAAAAAAATATATGTCAAAACGTATAAGAAAATATTAGAAAATCTAGAATTTTTGGAAATTTATGCCATCTCCTAAAGTCTAAAGTTACTTCATGAACAATGTCATTTTCTCATGCTCTCTTTCTGGGGAATAATTACGCATGCATTTAGCAAAAAGACAAGTACAAAGTCTTTCCGGTCTCCGCAATAGAAGCGATTATATGCGGCAGCAACTAATTAGCTATTCTCATATATTATCTCTTCCTGTACGCCGAAAGTCAAACGCGAAAACGCAATCAACTAGCAAAACATAACTCTAAGTTCAGATAAAATGTCACAATTTGTAATTAATAAACACGCGAATGAATCATTTATCAGCAAATCACAATTTACGCATCCGATGGAAATTGAGACTGAAACAAAATGAATAACGAGCAATGAATGAACAAGTAAACGCGAATATGCGAAAATATTGCTTTATATCTTGTTCTTTATAGCTCGTTCTTCCAATTTCCATGGATGCAATCTCGATGCATGGCTGTTCGAATTTCGCTCGTTATTAATCGCCACATTTACGACACTCTTGTGTAATGTTACATTGTGTTCTCCTTGTAGTAACGCCGCTGTTCTATTGCACAGAGAAGCGATTTCGCATGATAGCACGAATGCGATCACGTACCAAAACGAGAATACTCGCGAATAATTGCTGATGAGAAAAAATCGTTTAGACAGGTGAGATTCTTTACGTAAGATTAACTCGTATTACATAAGGAACTTTCATTGTAATAGATCACGATATAAGAAATGGAGATTCATCACTTTTAATTACAGTAAATTGTACATGATTTAATTTCATAGCAGAAAATACAAAAAAGTACTTATATATTTTTTCAGAATATGTTTTTTTTATTTCAAGTTTTGTTACGTTATATGTTACTACATTAACTTTTAAATTTAAAAGTCAATTGATACATATTTTATAATATATAAATTCTTATTTTTAAGAGAAACTAATGACGCTATTGATATAAAACTTATTTTATATTACAAAATCCTTGAACGAAGCAGATATAAGGGGATTATCTTTATACATACTTTATACTATATAATAAATGTACAGATAATAAATGTAAAAAATTATGTAGTACTTTAGTACTAAAAAGATATGTAATTATAAGCGCTGAAGTTAATAAAGCATAGTAATCAACCTCGAACACGATTTCATTATGCGATCAGTTGTTTAGAATAATGTTTAATGAGATAAAAAC